TATCTTGACGACCTTTGTGACGCTTTCGTGCAACACAGGACTACATTTATTTGTATGTATAAATATAGTGGATCAAACGGGTCTTAGAATTAGAGAGAGAGGGCTAATACTAAGTGAAAGATAGCACGTCATCTAGTTAGACGGACTGTCGAATAAGGGACGGTTACTGGGATGTATTGTGTGCAGAAAGCGAGAACCACTACAGAATAAAGAAGGTTCTCAATACACCTAAATAATATTTATCTGTGTGACATGTGATTTCAATAATTCTTTTTTAAATTAGGTTGTGTCTGCTTAACGTTGGTTCCATTATACTTTAAGAAAATATACCTTGGATGCAAAATACAATTCATAATGATTTAGAAGCTTTAGTCACAGGTAATAATCTTTTTACACGAAGGGACAACAAGCAACCTTGAAACAGAGGTATTATAAGTATAGGTAAAAATAAAAGGTAGTATATACAGGGGATAGGTATATCGGAGATAACGAAGAGAAGCCATTTTTTTTCTTCAAAAATAGTTTAGTATTGTATTTTTGCTTTTGGAAAATTGCAGATAATAGGTTAAGTACTGTCTGCAATTCCTAGTTTATGCCAAGGTTCTTTATTATATTTTTTTTTAACTTTATAAAATATTTGTTGATTCACCATATTCTTAATGGCAAGTAGTGCCAAAAGTGATTGCTATATAGGAATGGCGTAATTCTTAACGTTCTGAGAAAACAATACTCGGAAGAAAGTAAACAATTAGGTAAACAATTGAATATAAAGCTGAATTCCGAGGTAAACAAACTGCACTGAACTATTGGTATCTGTCGAGTTCAATATTGATAGGAATATAACATAACTTGACGCAGCTTACCTAAGTAATCTTTAGTTATAGTCTCTGAAGCTCCTCATCAGCCATCGTACAGCAGACAAATACATATCTAAATATTCTACATAGCAAGCGCCAGCTCATCCTTAATTCTATTTTTGATCTTGTGACAGAATTTCATTGAACTATGCGTTTCTTTTACAATAGTAAATTAAAATTACTTTAATGGGTATAAATATTCTAACATTAATAATATTTGCTTAACTCAATAAGCATTTGTACTAATTTATTAGTAACTTTGGACAAAAATCAACTCCTTTTTGCTTGCAAAGTTGTAAAAAGAAATTGAAATATGCCTGTTGAGTTTAAAAAGATATTTACATAAAACTAAAAATGGCTTAAACGTCATCGAGTTATACGTATAAAACATAAGTTTTCTGAGTTCGGTAACTTTTTAATTTATTTTTATTATTACTCTGAACTTTTATTTCTACAAAAATATAATTGGTATTCGCTCGCCCACTTAGATACGTATTAATATTTCTAACAATGTTCCATAAAAATTTGCATATGAATCACAACGCTTGTTCCAAAAAGTGTATGTTGTTAAATTTTGTTAATAAGACGAAGTCGGAAGCAAAACATTGGATTTTTTTTTACTATATTATTATTAGATTCTTTATTAATATATTCTTAATCACGTGTTAAAATATTATCTAATATATTTCTTATTTAAATAGTAGTATGAAAGAAGTTTTTCCAATACTATAAGGATTTTACCAAACTAGCAGTCACGTTAAGACCATTTTGAATAAGTCTATGTAGATAAATAGTAACAGACGAATACTACAGGTTTTTTTTAAATTTAGCTAGAATTTAATCTACGTCGAATACGTCAGGACAAACTCTTGATAATCTCCCTAGTAAGAAGCCAGAACATATTCATTGCCCCGCACCTAAGACAAGTGAGAAAGGACTACTTTTGACGTGTCTTAGACACGTCCAAAGTAGTCCTTTCTCACTTACAATATCGATAAACAAAGAGGATTAATATTTTAAAACATTAATCTGTTTTTGTTATAAAATAGTGACATTGCTTAAACGTAGGAAGGCCAACGTACTCGTACGGTGTTCGAATTCCTCTCTCACACCCTTTACTTGACATAGCTAAATTTCATCGACCCAGTGCCGACACTTGGACCGAATCATCGGCATAAAAAGGTCCCTTTTGAGTAATCTCCGATGTTATCAGTGACGCGACACTGTTTAGTCGAATGACCGATCGATTGCGTATTTGTATTGGAGTAGATATTTTTGGAACTTTTGCAAGATTGATTCGATTTCAATAGGAATTCGCGGATTGATGTCGTCTTCTACCCGAAAATTGAAATTTAAGGAATGCAATCAAGAAGAAAAATCTTGCTGGTAAATACGAACGTTAGAACGAAATAGTCACACTGTTTAATGTAGAAATATTTTACAAAACGGCATAAGCGAATTTAAAATAAGCTTATACTTTTCTTGTGTCATTTGAATAAGAGAATCGAAAGTGATTGTTGATTAAAGTACCTGGTATGCACCATAGCAACCAGTACTGAGCCTTCCATAGCCAATCTATCTATTCAGATTTCCTTAAAAGGTAATGTGTACCCAAAATGCTTAAGAAAAAACTAATTTGCAACAAATCGGATTCATTCATAATATAATAAAATAAATAAATAAATTACAATATATCATACCAGCTACATAAAATGCGCACTATACGCGCGCTATCAACAAAAACAATTCATATAAATGCGGGACTTTGGAAAAAACAACACCATCATCACATGAATGTTTTCTACGAATTATCTCCCAAAACAAAGGGCACTTTAACACAAAAGATATAAAGTGGGAAATCGTTTGTGAATTCCAAATAAGAGTCAGATGTCAAAAGACTAAGTTCGGATCTCAACAAAGGGAGTTTAATGAGGGCCACGCCCATTATTTCAGACCTCATTTAGACTTGAGTTTAAGCCTTTGGATCGTTTTAGATTAATCTTGTCGAAATGTGCTCAGAATTTTAACAAATAGGACATTACTTGTTACGATAAGTGTTTATAGTCGCTTTGAGTCAATGATGACTTAGAAATGGCCAGTGTACGCCAGAAACAAATGTTTATAATTATATTATTCATAAAATAGGGATCGTACTGGCTTGTTTTATTTGTTAGAAAACTCTTATTTATTCATGATTATAAGACTTTTATTGTGACCATTCACAGGTAAAATATAACAGCTTAAAAATATATACAACTTTATGAATTCCGGCTAGTATACTGGTATCTTGCCTATTTTTTGTAAGTTTTACATCAATTACCATGCCTATATAAAGATAACTAGTACTAAGTACTTGACCGAAACAAAAACAAAATTGCCGAAAATGATATCTACATCTTGGTAGACACAACTATGCAATAAAACTTTATCTTCTTATATATACATTATATATTTATAAATGTTAAGTTGATTTGTGTACGCTTCAAAACTCAAAACTCTAAAAGTTTTGCACCGTTTGAGCTCAAGTTTTGACAAGATACGAGTATACCCACTTCAAAGATTAATTTTATTTATTTTTCTTTCCTCATTAACCTATTCTAAAGGTCGCGGGTTCGATTCCCACTCAAGTCAAACATTTGTGTGCATGAACATTTAATGTTTGATTTGGTTTGGGTGTTTCTATGTATAATATGTATGTATTTATAAATGAAAAACGTATATACATATGTGTTTATATCAGTGGTCTAATACCCATAGTACAATGTGGTAGAATTGTGTGAATGTGGTAGAATAATATTTTTAAATATTATTATAATTTGCCATACCGAAGCGTGGCAAGATACAGCTAGTTACATATGTTTTTAAATAAGTCCTATAATTTTCTATGATTAAAATTTGTTAAATGCACAGACATTTTATTTATCAAAAGCTCCTTCCGCTTTGAAACCAAAGTACATAAATGCTGAGTTCCTTAATGATAAGTGAGCTTTTAACCAGCAATCCTTTAGTATCCACAAGAAATCGACACACCTTATTGATAGACAATATTTTATAAAGCGTGATACGACTTTAATCGGGGTATTTATTATTTAAATTAGGAGAAGTGTTGTCACTTACCTAAATAGCAAAAGTATTTGAAAATCGTATTCTAAGTTCCTTTCTCGGTAATATTTTAACCTAACGCCTCTTTGAGCGCCTATACCCGGCTTTAGACAATGTGTCTTCCACAATCGTTTGGCAAGTGAATTGTTGACACTAAAATTTTACTACTGCAAAAGAGGATGCCACTGCATTCGAAGTCTTAAAGGATATCCTTTCATCCTTTTAGAATATTCACCCCTCGCTCATGGAATGCCATCGCAATGGGCAATAAGATTTTATTAATGCGTAAATGGTAGATGTCCATCATTGTTATCTGCATATTTTTGTTAATCTACAGAAACAGGGGAGCTGTTGCATAGTTTTCACAGTGTTTAGTATTTTTATTAAAAGATCAACTTTTTTAATAACTTCCTCTTGCTGATAGGTATTACAACCATAAACACTTGTTACAACAGAGGTTTATAGAAAAACGAATTCTTTAAATCAATTTAACCCAAAGTCACATTATTAGCATCGTCATCTTCACACCTAACAACTGCTCCTTAAAATTCTAACAAAAAACTTGGTTTTTGGGGAAACGTCATCTTTTTTTTAATTTTGTTTTATTTCATCTCTTTTTTTTTTGTTAAAAAGCTTAACTCTGGTTATTCACAAATAACACAAATAGTACTATTTGTGGGTTACATAAATTTTGTACCGTGTTGAATTCAAACCCCCATCAATCAGTGCGAAGAAGCAACACTTACACTAGTGTGCCATCCGTACAGTAATAAACACTTAGAACGAACTGCCTTACTTGGTTCACCATTAATATGAAAATGTTTCTCTTTAAATATATTTAATTACCGCTAAAACAGTAGAAGGTAAATGCTCTTAATACTACGAATGTAAAAGAAAAAATATGTAATGAGTGACAACGTTTCGTGTCACAATTGACTCGATCCACTTAAGAGTTTCAAAGGCTACAGATATGATATTATAGAAACAAGAATAAGCTAAAAGGATAATATAAGAAAATACGATCAATTTCATACACAATATATGTTAAATTTGACACGTGCGGCGCGGCGCAAGGGTGAGATGTAAGAACAAGGCTGAGCGTTTGGAAAAAAAATGAATATTTCTTAACACATATAAAATTAATTCAGTATAGCAAAACTTATGAAACATGATCATTGGTTATTTAATAAATTTTATGAAGGAAATATTGTGCTAGAGTAAAACGATAAAGTTACTATGATTATAATTATAAATCTTCACTCAATGACAAAAAAAGTCTTATTAAATTTAATCATACACATAAATTGCATATAAAATACAGGAAATCTGTTTAATTGGGATAGATATTGCATCTTTGACTACGGTTGATTGATGTTATTCCAGATCAATAATAATAATAATAATTTCACAAATCTCACACACGGCCGTCTGATCCCAAACTAGGCAGAGCCTATACTGTATAAACATAATTAAATATTTCTAAATACACACATAATATAGATAAATTACACTCAGACACAGAACAAATGACCGTGCTCATCACGCAATTATTTGTCCTGGGTGGGAATCGAACCCACGACCGCTGGTGTTGCGACGTTGGCGACTATTTACGTTGACAATTCTTTAAAATCCTGTACGATACCTGAAGTCCCTTTGAAAATTTTAAAAGACAAAATCTACTATCTACTACCTTTGTATAGATTATCTGAAATTGTTTTGTACCAAACGATCATTGTGACGGTATCCGTGTCAATACTTTAACGCTTATCGCGACGCTCAACAATGTAACTAATTCAACTCCAAAGGCATAATTTATCATATTGCGAAATATCCACTGTGTCTTAATGGGTATGCAAATGTTTTTGGTGTCATAGTAACGTAAATCTAATATGTTAAACAGGTGTCCTTTTAAGATAATCACGTTCTGATAAATGTCACAAACTCTGAAAACACATTTTTCAGAACTCAGATATTACGGCCATAGAGCAATGCACTGTCACGATTTTATACGATTTTTAAGGTGACTTTTGATTAGCCTTTATACCTACTGCTATCGACTGTCTCTAATATTAAAATTTACAATATTCTACTCGTGTCCTGTCTATAAATGTATATTATAACCTTTCAAAATATACCAGTGATACTGGGGCTTTAGAGATAATGGAATAGTATGTATATTAATTTTGACTATTTTCAACTCATACATTTTGTAGTATATAAATTTGACTCAAAGGTACTCATATCAGTATAATTAAACATAATCGAAACAGAAAATGATGAAAGATTTTGTTAAAATATTATACTACTGAAATATAATGAATTGTTTGAGGAGGTCTCGTGTTCGACTACCGGGTCGTATCAAATGTTTGTATGATCTGCAAAAAAATTTGTTTCGGAGTTTGGGTATCATTATCAACCTATCGCAGTCCACTGCTGGACATAGGCCTCTCCCATTGCATGCCACTTCGATCGATTTTGGGCTTCTCGCATCCAGCGCCTGCCAGCCATCTTGCGCAAAATCGTCACTCCACATGGCCTGAGGGCGTCCTACACTGCGTTTGCCGAGACGCGGTCTCCACTCGTTTTCCCCAACGGTTATCGGTTCTGCTGCTAATATGGCCAGCCCACTGCCACTTCAGCTTGCTAATCAGGTAGGCTATGACAGTAACCCCGGTTCTCTGCCGGTTCACCTGATTCCTGATACGATCTCTTAGGGAAACGCCGAGCATAGCCCTTTCCATAGCACGTTGAGCGACTTCAAACTTGTGGACCAGCCGTACCGTGTTTCAGTATTTTCTATAAAAAAAGTGAAAATGTATTCTATCAGTCAATCTAGCGCTCATAATACAATCTCTACTTAGTTGAGACTGGAAGATAGTGCTGTGTGTTCGAACGTAAAACATGAGTATCATGTGATGATGATGTTCATTCTCGTGATAAATACATTTTAAATAGAAATAAAGTAGGACATAAATAACAAACTTTAAAAAATACAAAATCGGAAACCTACTCCTTTTTTTGTATTTGGTTAAAAAGTGGGTGTTGTATGCTCTCAACTCTAATAGTCTTAATACAAAACAAGGCCAAATTATGGTAAGAAAAAATATAGGTTCTATGAGTACTACACAATATTACATTGAGGACGCTAAATTAACTAAATATTAATAGTTTCATTTATATAAACTTTCGCACCATCAGAAAATGTTACGTCAGGATCTAATGCCTTACAACTTTATTGTGACTCCTCTTCAACTCTTGATGCAGCATGCCTGTAGAATTTATTATACATACCAAACTCTTGCGTTCTCTTCCTAAATATACTTCAAAATAAGTTAAATGTAAACGTTTATGTTCAATTTTGCTTATTTGGATTACATTTCTATTAGTCAAATGCCTGATAGTAATTTTGTTACATTAATACAACAAAATTTCTATCAGGCATTTACCCTTCTTAGTCCCTTCTAGTCTCTCCTTAAATAAATTAGTATAATCCTATGTGTATATGCTTGTGTGAAATTATTTATTAGTTGTTATAGTAATTGTATATAAATATTAATAGCCTTCTTTGTATTGTTTTAGGTGTCGACGATACGCACAAGTTCTTAGGAAACGACACACACACCGATTACTTCAGATTATTGTTACGAGATGGAAACTATCTTTTAGTCGGCGGAAGGTAAGTCTAACTTTTAGTATTTTCTCTTATCTTATTATAAACTCGTAACGAATATTATTAAATACGCAATTACGTGCCTTGTCTAATATTTAATTGACCTTTCATTAATATCCTAGACTTGTGAAATGCGTTTAGAGAGTAATGAAAATATAATTCTCTAAAATCATGTGACTTCTTTATAAATGAATGAAAAATAAATAATTACAAATAAACATCTTTAACCTTAATGCGTAACCGCCTAAACCACTACGCGATCAGTACAGTCAAATTAGACAGACCCTGTACTATGATAACCAAAAGTACTGATAAACGTACATAAGTATTCTAAATACATACAGACTGAAAATAAATTATACCCAGACAAAGAATAAGTAATCGTGCTCACCACACAATTATTTGTTCTGGGTGGGAATCGAACTCACGACCTCTGGCTCAGGGTCACTAACCACTACAAGAACAGTCATACTTATTTACGTAGTAGCACCTATTTCGCTTTAAATACTAGCAAGCTATACATTCAAATGAGATTCTTAGTTATTTGTTTTTCCCAACGCCACTCCAATTCGTTGCAAAGTTGGGGTACCCTTAACCGCACCGAGTGAAGCGGCAAGAACGTGCTGTATCTACCCGTAACCGCAGAGAGCTAACTCAGATGCAACTCTCGCTGTCCTTCTCGTATACCTCTAGATGCAGATAGTACTGTCGCATTTACATTTTTAAAGATTTTTGGCTTGCCTTTGGATGGACGTAAGACGACTTATAAACACTTTAGTCGCACCCGGCCTTTAGTCGCCATTTTAAACGTTTTTTTTTTTAAAGGGAGAAGTTGACGATTTGTAATTTAGAAATAGAAATTTCAATGTTCTGATGTAGCCTTTAAGGTTTGTGACAAAATGTTTGATTAGAAGCAATTGAAATCATAGTCTTTTTAGTCCTAATTGTAACTTAAATAGGAAAAGTATGTGATCTTTCATACTAATAAACGTTTAACCGCTACTTTTTTAAAGAGGTGCTAGTCCCAGATTGACCAAAAGGTTAAATCGTACAACTATTCTTTAAATTAATATAAAAAAGTTAGATAAAATTAAAACTAATAGCTTCTTACATTAAAAAAGTAAACCAACATTTACTGAAGAGGTTAAAGAACCAAAACCATTTGGCAACGTAAGGGGTGGTCCGCGATTATTATATAAAACGAACGTCTGGCCCAGACTCCAGAATAACTCCATAAAAACAGCAGATATGTAGCAAATTGGACAATATTTTCCACAACGAACGACGAGTCTCTCCGTATAATTTGAAATATTCATCCGTTCCAGCAAAGTTTGCATTTCTTTCCAAATCAGATTTACATGACAATGGTCACGTTGTCGCCCGATGAAATTCTCATTGCTGGAACTTGCCTGTGAGGGATTTATTAAAGGGAGCAAAAAGGTTTGTAATAAAACCGATGTCGACTAGATGACTCAGTGGCGGGCCATGGAATAAGTGGAGATCATTTTTGTTTACACGTTTGTTCATCCCAAGGTGCATTACGTTACGTCGGAAATATCCTTAGAACAAGATATCCTAAGCGGGATGTTTAAGTATCAATGGACATACTATATGTTAATGATTTCATACTATCTGTAGTGTAAGTTTGAACGGTGTCGATAGAAATCCATAAATAATTTTTTGTTTTTATTTTATAAATTAAGTGTGAAAGTGTATATTTAATATTAAATTGTGAATAAAATCGGAAGAATATAAAATACAAGCAATCATTCAATTCACTTCAGTTACTGTTGTGTAATAATTAAACATATTTTATTGTAATGTAACATAACTATTACATTGTTCAGTCGTTGCTTATAAGCAATGGTAAAATTGCATTCGCCTCAAAATACTCACCTATAACACTTCAATTTATAAATTTAGAAGAAATATTTGTGTATACTACTAAAAGTTTCCAAACATCTTCTTTTTTAGTTGTATCTTGTGACGTTTGCGAAACATCTAAAATATGCTTACCCCAAAACACGCGCTTCGGTTTCGTAAACATACAAGGCTTTTTATATATACACCCACCACCGATTTAATCTACATTGGCTTAATGAAATTCAAATACAACGTATGATAATATGCGCAAAACCTTATACTCTTTTGTATAACAACAGTCGTTATCTTGTGGCCCTAAAACTCGCGTCGAATTCGACAATATTGAAAGGTACCGTACCAGTAAACTCGCATAAACGCGCCACGTCGGTTATTCTGGATACTCAATTATACACTGTGTGAGTCTGAGCATCAGAAAGGAAGTTGTATCAAGTATTTTACAACACTGGTACGAGAGTCATAATTATATTTTAGAACAAATTTGTTAGTTAGATAAAATAAATTATAAACAGTAATAAATATAATAGTAATTATAATAAATAGTTTTTCATAATAAATATAGTTATTTTTTAATAGTGTTGTAGAGTGCTGCACCTGTTTAATATCCCTCTTTAAGTGAATCTTCCATCTTTAAAAAAATATAAGTATGTATCAGTCACTCATGTAACTTTATTTAAAAGGTTTTTAAAGCTTTTATTCGTTACTCAATTTATTCTTTCTAATTCGAAAACCCATTCTGAAAATCTGTCACTATTTGCGTGTCAAGCGTGAATCGCTTCAATCCCCGCTGGTTTCACTCCCCCACCCTTAATTTTATAAGGCCGCTTACCGTGCGGAAACGTTATTTGGAGCGCGTCCCATGTAATGGTATTCCGCCGTAGTGTGATCCTCTTTTGTGTGGCCTTTTAACGAAATTAACGTTGTTTCGACCGGCCTCATACGAACACAGTATTATCAAAGCACCACAGAGTTTACTTACAATAAACTTGTTCAGATTGACTTCATTGTAAAGATGGTGCATCGTTTTTTTTTTATAATAGGAGGTGGTGTAAAATACATGATCCGTTTTCTTTAACATACAAATTAGTTTTCTTTTTTAAGTTAGTACAAAAAAGCCGTATTTTTATTACGTTTATAATTTGTTGATTATTAGACAATGTGAGTTGTAAATACTTTTTATTTAGTAGCACAAAAAAAAGACATACTAAGTAAAAAAATAAATCTGTACTACGTAATAGAAAATAAATAGGTCTAAGTCACATTCACAAAAAGGCGTAAATATACATATTTCATAGTGAAATCTATTAATTATAATGGCCACTACAACCCCATAACGTATCTAGGTCGACTTAACCAGTTACCATGTTTATAGTTAATATTTTAAAGGCTTACGTATTATTTTCTCACAGAAGCTGGGGACAGTAGAGTATTCTTCTCGCGTATAAAGCTGTCTTTGTCTTGCGCTGGCTTGAATCCCTCGCTGCACTCAAGACTAGTTTTAAATTCCTCGCTTCTCTCTAGATTTAACTCTCAACACCCCAGCTTCATTCAGGTTTACTAAAGTCCTTGGTTACGCTTGTGACAGAAGTTAGTCCCCATAAAATACTTATTTATAGCTTTGCTTCTACTATTGTCGTCATTCAATCGTTTTTGTCTTGTTTAAACTAGATGACAATGAACAATTAATCTATTTAAACTATACATTTGTCAATTTCGCAGATGAGATTATACATTCACTAGTAAAAGTCCGTTGCGCCACCTTTGTCACATCCTTTTATAAGTGTATGTGTTGTGTCATTATGTAAGTGAGTTACCTCCGGCACATTATACTGGAGACTGTTAGCCTGGCTCGCAAATAGCGGCAAATGGCCACTTGTAAGCTTATCACACGCACACCCACTTTTACATAATGGCCATCAAAATGATACTTGCTGATTTCGTTTTTATGTCGACACCTAAAAGCATAAAGTACATATATTATGTTTTGTAGCATTTGGGGTTAGCTGCTGCATGTTTTGAAAGAATTTATTTGGCTCATAGAAATTACCAAAACCTTTATAATAATTAGTGATAGACCATAATACTTCAATAGTATCGGGATCAAATCAATATCAATAATAATCAATGGGTCGTGGATTCGATCATCAGCCAGGATCATTCGTTCTGTGTCTGGGCGAATTTATCTATAATATGTATGTATTTAGAAATATATAGGTACGTTTATCAGCGGTCTGGTTACCAAAGTCCAGACTTTGCAAAGTTTGGGACCAAACGGCCGTGTATGAGATGTGTTTAAGTTATTATTATTATTACTTATACATTAAAGCACTCAAAATAAAACTTTTTCCGTTTAAAACTGTTTTTAACTACTATTCAAACAATAAACAAAAACGCGGAATATTCCACACTATTATAAAACAAATAACGTATGTTGTGTAGTCATCAACAGTTTGTTCACACTACACACACATGTCCCTACTCGTTTTGCTAATGTAAACACGGAACAGTCAAATTTTCACGTACAATTTTAAACTCTCGTAATATCATAGAGCTGGTATAAATTCGTGAATAAATAAATCTGTTCCTAATTAATCATATTCATACGGGCCCTAGTTGGCAAGTCCATTTTGAATATGAAAATATTTGATGAACAAAAAAATGTGTAAGTACATGATGCCGAACGAACCTTTCAGGGCAAAGTTTATCTTGTTTTTATAAAACTTTCAATTAAGGATCCTTTTCTGTAAGTTACGTTTGTAAGGTGTAATTAAGAGCTCGTATTAATTAGATCCCAGCACTGTATTTACTGTTTTTGCGATTTTTAATTACCTAAAAATGCCTTAAGTCTACTTTTAAGAAAACAAAATCAATCTTTATTAGCTTTTTTTAAAACTTGGGCATATATCGAAGTGAAATTAAAGTATTTCTGTCCATGTATTAGAGCCAATTTACTTTAAATTTCCTGACCCTATTAAATTTCAAGATACATCAACCGCTTTGCTTATCTAGGAAATCTACAGAGCTCTACAGCGCGAATTTTTGTTACAAATACAGTTAAAATTCGTTACGGAGAACCTATAAAAAGGCTAAAATTATATAATATATTGAAAAAGCGTGCAACTCTA